GCACAGAGGGCTGGGATGCTGGGTGGATGCCCATTTGGTCACCAGATGTAGAAAACTAAAAACCTTTGGCCTAAATTTGGGCCTTTACCAACCTTATTCAGGCTGACTTGGGAGCATCATCAACCCTTTATCCCTGCGCCCTCCACTGCCCCCTCCAAATTCACTGTTTTGTTAATTTTGCAGGCAAATTATGTGAAGGATCCTGGGTAGCCTCCAAATGGTTAAAATCTGCTGCATATTTATTGCCTCAAACGGAAACTACCAGGACCTGAAAACCTGCTGCTTCCACATCTTTCCTTCTTCAGTAACATCAGACACCACAGTCTCTCCATCTCCAGCAGAAAGAAGTGACTCCCTGGAGTAACTTTTAACTTTTATTTTATGTGTATGAGCATTTTGCCTGCATGTGTGTATGTGCACCTGTGTTGTGCAATGCCTGAGGAGGCCAGAAGAGGACATCAGATCCCCTAGAACTGGAGTTAAAGATGGTTTTTAGCTGCCATATGGATGCTGGGAACCAAGCCTGGGTCCTCTGGAAGAGTAGCCACTGCTCTTAACTGCTAAGCCATCTCTCCAGTTTGTACTTTTGTTTTTAACAAGCATTAAATAAAAAGAAAATGGTAGTCACTGGTTAATGTATTCAACATGTCTCTTTCATAAATTGATAAAATCAATTCAGGTTCCCATGTTAAGAATCATAGTACTCATCACTATAGAATGATTAGGTCCTGTATCATTCACAAAATGATCTTCAAATTTCTTAAATAACATTGAGGATTGTTAAAAATGATAGGAACAAAAACCAGAACAAGAGAAATCAGATGAGATTCCTTGTTCTAGTCCTAGATTGTAGCTTGCTGGGGTTACTCTTATTGGCAACCTGGTATAAGATATATTGTCCTTGGTGTGATGACTCTTGTTGAACCTCTATTGTACCAAAACCTTCCTTGTTATGATCATGTCAACAGGGCGGGCACAAAGGCCCAACTCCCTACCAGAAACCCATGGTGCCAGGCTGGGGTAGGCAGGGCTGAGGGTGGGCACTCAGAGGTGGCAGGTTCTCTGTGTCTCTGCTCAGGGTTGTGGTGATGCTGAAGGCAGCCGCCACAGCTGCAGCTGCTTCCAAGGTGTGACAGTCACTAGGCTGCAGCCCAGAGCAACTGCTCTGAGTTCCCTGTGGCCTGCTTTGCTCTGTTACCAATCAAGCTAGGTTTCTGATCACTTTTACAATACCTTGTGCGTCTCCTTAGATTGTTTTTTGTAGGCCCTAAAAAAAAACCCAAAAAACAAAATCAAAAACACAACTTTCAGGCAAATGTTAGACATAAAAAAATACTAGTGTCTTTGAATATAACAATCTCTACGTTGTAATTTGTTTTATATGTACATAACGTTTAGATTTAAAGTACATATGGGTGGATTCCACTATAAACAGGAATTGGGCTTAAGGGACAAAATATATTAGTACTTATGATAGGTCTAATTGTCAGTTTGACACAACCTAGCATCTCCTGGGAGGACACTTTTTGTTGAGGAATTTCCCTCATCAGATTGGTCTGTGACCAGTTATTTCTGGGGCATTTTCTTGATTGTTGGTTGCTGTAGGAGGGTCCAGCCCACTGTGGGCGGTGCCATCCCTGTGCAGATGTGCCTGTGCTGTATAGAAATGTAGCTGAGCAAGCCAGGGAAAGTAAACCAGCAAGCAGCACTCCTCTGTGGTCTCTGCTCCAGGCTCCTGCCTCCAGGCTCCTGCCTTGAGTTTCTCCCTTGACTTTCCCTGATGATGAACTGTAACATGTAAGTCAAATAGACCCTTTCTTCTCCAAGTTGCTTTTGGTCCTGGTGTTTATCACAGCAACAGAAACCAAACTAGAACATGTACTGCGAGCTTACTTCTCTATTGTACATAAAGTCTTTTCTGTTCTTCACCAGCATGTACACAACAACTATTAAACTGAATGCAGGGCGTGGTTGTGCACACCTTTAGTTTCTGGTTTTGATTTTTTTTTATTGTCCTTTTGAGACAGGATCTCCCTGCAGCCCCAGTGGGCTTGAACTCAATATGTAGACTAGGCTAGCCTTGATCTCACGGTCTCACAAAGATTTCCCTGCCTCTGCCTCCCAAGTGCTAGGATTAAAGGCGTGTGCCACCATGCCCAGCTAAAATGAGTGTTTTTGTTTTTATTTATTTATTTTTTTTGCACCCCTTTAGTTTCAGAGTTCAGGAGGCAGAAGCAGGCAGATCTCTGTGAGATTGAGGCCAGCCTGGTCTACATAGTAGTTCCAGGCCAGGGTGAGGCTACCAGGAGAGCCTGTCTCAAAACAAAACAACAACAAATAAACCGACAAACTTTATATTCAAGAGTATTTTGCAAAATCGCATTTAGAGGGGCTGGAGAGATGGCTCAGCAGTTAAGAACTGGCTGCTCTTGCAGAGGACCTGGGTTTGATTCCCAGCACCCACATGGCGACTAACAACGATCCTTAACTCCAGTTCCAGGAGATCTGACACCCTCTTTTGACCCCTGTGAGCACTGCATGACACGGGTGTACTTTATATACATGCAGGCAATACACTCGTACTCATAAAAAACAAACCAACAACAACAACTGCCAGGCCTGATAGCGCATGCCTTTAATCTCAGCATTTGGGAGGCAGAGGCAGGTAAATCTCTGTGAGTTCAAGGCCAGCCTGTTCTACATAGTGAGTTCCAGGCCAGCTGGAGCTACAGGAAGATTCTGTTTCAAAAAGACCTAAAAGACCAAAAACAAACAAAACAAAACTTATATTTACCACCCCCCACCCTGGCACAGTTAGGTTTTTATATCTGAATCTTTCAGCAGTGCTGATAGAGTATACCCTTGTTTTGGATACAGACTAGTCGGTTTTCTTCCGGAAAACATAATCAATGTTAACTTTCCTGCATAGGAAAGAAAGAATTAATACTTTTTACCTTCTTTCATCCTAATCCACTTGACTTGAATGGTGACCAGCCTTCATCAGCACACCACTGGCCTCTGGAGCGGACCTCTCCAAGATTGGTGCAGTCACAGCTGCTCTGGAGGTCTGCCCTTCTGTTTCACTTTTCTTTGCTTCTTTCATATGCAAGTCAGGAACACTCCTTTGAAAAATTCATAAAAACCAATGTTTTCTAGTAATTCTATTGACCATGGTGAAAAAGCAATTTGTAATATTCCAGCACCTCTCCATCTAAATCCTTTTATAACTGTAAAAATGTTATAATTGTAAAAAAGTACCAGCTAAGGATAAGCAAAGTTATACTCATCGATCCTTAAAATAGGTAAAGATATCATGCTGCAGCAGTGAGATAGGAGTTCATGGATCAAGGCTGTGTCTGAGCAGGTGTAAGGCTTTACAGAAGAGATAAAAGTAACAGAAAAGCTCACGAGGCAAACACTGGAAAAAATTCTAGTTAGGAAACAGAATGTAAGCGCAAAGACCAGGTGCATTTCAACCAGGTGTTGCCTATAAACTTAAAAGGAAAAATGTAAGATACACAGATGTGAGTTTCCAGAGATGAATGCCAAACTAACCTTGAATGCTGCACTCAGAGTCTGGAACTCAGCGTCCAAAGAACAGTGTTCACTCATGGGAATAAAGATTAGGTATATGCTAAATCCGATTTTGATTTTAGATATAATTTTTTAAAAAATATTTTATTTATTATTTTTATGTGTATGCATGTATTGCCTGCGTGTAGGTAAGTGCACCCATGTCGTGCAATGCCCATGGAGAACAGAAGAGGCTGTCGGATCTCCTGGAACTGGAGTTACAGTTATGGACAGCTGTTAGCTGCTATGTGGGTGCTGGGATTCGAACCCAGGTCTTCTCTAAGAACAACCAGTGTTCTTAACCGCTGAGCCATCTCTCCAGTCCTAAATATAATAATTTTAAATATTATGTTTACTAAAGAACACCATGAGTCAATACAATGTGAAATAGAGAATTTAGGAGATATCTTTGTGGCAAACCTTATTTTGAAAATATTTAGCAATACACAGAGTTCAAAGATCACAATATACTGATAAGTTTTGATTTTGTAAATAAAACAATTTGACTAATCTTGTATAATTTTGCCTAGTTTTTCCCCCTCCTCAGCTGCTTTATTAGCTCAGACACATTTTGCCTAGTTTTTAATCCTGTTATAAGAGACCATGTTTATCAATAGACCATTGTAAATCTCTTTTATATGGAATCCTCATATGCCATCACAAGCATATGCCCAAAAATCTTTATAAAGATGCTGAATTTTGTCACTGGAAATCCCTCACAAGAATTTAATATGTTATGAGCCCCTAAAAGTTCTATAAGCAAAACACAGAAGTAATTTTTATTTGTGGAAGGTTTGTATAGATAACTCTACTGGCTAAGTTTCTAAAAAAATTAGAAGAGATGAACTCAATTATTAATTCACCAAGAGTCAAACTCCAATAATAATTTGGTAATTCTAGAGGGTATTAAGATCATTTTGAAAAGTTTATTGAAAAAAAAAAATCTCGGTAAGTTTCCCTCAAACTTAGGAAAGAATCAACCTTCCTCCCTGCTTATTATTATTTTTTGGTCTTTTTGAGACAGGATCTCCATGTAGCCCCAGCTGTCCTGGAACTCACTATGTAGACCAGGCTGGCCTTGAACTCACAAAGATCCGCCTGCCTCTGCCTCCTGAGTGCTGGGATTAAAGGCGTGTGCCACCACGCCCGGCCCTCCCTACTTATTATTAGTCACTTAAACCAGTTTACCATCCACTTGGCCAACCAGTGCCACTGGCTCATTCACTAACCAATCCCTGTCAGATCCTTCCTTCCTGAAAATACAAACTCACTCCAATAAACATGCTGCACATGCCAACCAACCAACACATGTATTGTTTGAATAGCATGTTCCTGCAGCCACCAGCCCACTTAAACCTTCTCAAAGTTGGATTCTAAATGTTGGCTAGTTTTCAAATTCCACTTCTCCCTGATGTCAAACCACTTACCTTCTACAAGTTGGCTGATCTTTAAACACCATTCTTTGCCAGCCCCCTGTACAAGTTAAGCAGGATACACTGTTAGAATACACTCTGCTGATCAGTTACCAATAAAGCAGTAAATTCAAATTTTATCTTTTTCTTTCAGATACTGAAGGCTCTAAATAGTTTCACAATAGTTTACATCTATTAATTTTGTTACCTTTATATTTATTGTTAAATATTATTATTGTTGTTGTTGTGTCTGTGTATGTGCCATGGTGTGTGTGTGTGTGCGTGGAGGTCAGAGGACAACTCTGTGGAGTCGGTTTTCTCCTTCTACCTTTACATGGGCTCCAGGATTGAGTTCAGATCATCAAGCCTGCCAGGCAAGCACTTTTACTTGCTGAGCCATCTCCTTGGTCCCATGATTTTAATAAAATCCATATGAACTTTGGAATTCATTTAGCATAGCTTGCCATAACTGAAATTCTCATAAATGCCAACGAAAAAAATTTTAAAAAATGGTGGCGTCAGGTGTGGTGGCGCATGTCTTTAATTCCAGCACTCAGGAGGCAGAAGCAGGTGGATCTCTGTGAGTCCTAGGCTAGCCTGGTCTACATAGTGAGTTCCAGGACAGCTGGGGCTACAGAGAGACCCTGTCTCAAAAAGACAAAAAAAAAACAAAAACAAAATGATGCCCACAATATTGGACTTCTCTAAGAGAAGAAAAATAAATGTAGAGAGTATGGATTAGAAACTGCCAAAACAATCCCAAAATAATATTTACAAACTTAGGTTGTCAAGACGTACTCAAACGAAAACTTGCATTTAGTCAAATGTTTAAAATCACACCAGGGTAAATGCCACTCACTAATTTACTAACTGCTTATTGTGTGGCTACTTCCTGTATGCTATTCCCCCTTCTATAACTAATGTGTTTATGTAGCAGCTAGAAGCAATAACAATTAACAGTCAAAATATGAAGGCGAATACAATAACAGGTGTTAGCAACTTAGCTGATGAATAAGTCAATCGTACCCATTGCTTTAGCAGTTCTTTTGTCCTGTGGTTTTGATTGGTTGTTTGCTTTGCTATATTGGGACTCCAAATCACAGCATTAAGTATGCTAGGGAGGAGCTCAAATTCCTAGGTCACTCTCCCATTCCCTTAAATGAAGGTCTTTGGGAACATAGCCATGTCCACTCATTTATGACCACAGCATATTTCAACCTACAACAGAGGCCTCATGGTCCATAAGGTCTAGAAATGAATATTGATGTTCTCCACTCATCTGTAACTCACTTCCAGGGGATCTGATGTCCTCTTCTGACACCAGTGCACTTACCTCCATTGAGGCAATATAGTCATACACATAAAATTAAAATAATAAATATTTTTTATAAAAGAAAATATTTGTCAGTATAATTAGACAAATCGTATCAAATTGTTTATGTATTTCTGGGTAACCATGCAAAACCTGAATACCTCTACTGAGGTATAAAATTTGTTAGTCATGAATATTAGTCCAAGTTAGAATGAATTTTTACAACAAAAATGATTATCTATTTTGAAATATTTCTATGATCTTACTTTGCATGTTTGTCTTTTTCCTTAGTAGGAAATGGCTTTTCAGTTTTTCCACTGTTTCTTGTTAGAATGAATCTACTGTCACTGTAGTCAGCAACCTCATGATGTGGGTTCTCTGAGACTTCCAGTTCAGGACTTTGGTGCTTCTTGCTGGTTTCCTCAACCTTTAATGGAAATTCAAGTAACATTTTAGCTTTGATTGTTTTCGTTGTTTTTATAAATCACTTGACTCTTATTTTCATTGTGATAATTTTAGTCCATAAAAATATTTTTTTTTCAGAGCTGGGGAGATGGCTCAACATTTAAGAGGACTTGCTGCTCTTGTAGAGGATCCAGATTGGGTTCCCAGGACCCATGGTAGCTCAGAATCCTCTTTAACTCCAATTCCTGGGGAATCTGATGCCCTCTTCTGTCCTCTGTGGGTACTGCACACACATGGTACACATATATATGTACAGGCAAGACACTCATACATATAAAAAAAACTTAAAGATTTTTCTCAGTTTAATTTTATCTTTTTTTTTCATTTTCATTTTTTATCATTAATTTTACCACTAAAATTTTGAAAATCCTGCTTTATTTGTTTAACCTAAAATGAGCTCTTAGGGGCCATAGATAGCATTTCATGACACCAAAAATCATGATACAATTCCATAGTACCCAATCAGATAAATAACCCAGTAAATCCATTTAATTAATCAGGTAAATTAAAGAGGTGTGAATTTGAAAAATAATGTAATGCTTTCTTGGAGGGGGATGCTTAATCTACATTTAAAAAAAAATGTATCTCTAGGTTTTTGTGGGTTTTTTTTTCTCCACAACTTAGTGTATCTCAGAACTCAATTTTCTAATTTGGAGTCAAATATGGTATTTTGGGCTAATGGGCTAATGATACGTATTCTTTGTATAATTTAAAATAATATATTCTGAAATCAGTTTTAATGAAGAACATGATGTAAGGATGATTTACCAAAACCGTTTTTTTCAAGTATTAATGTTAAAGCATGTGAAGTATACAGTTGCTGTCAACATTTTACAAAGTCATTATGTGGGAATTAGTTTCCCATGGTTTGAGTGGAAAAGTTTCAGTTACACACATCAAAACACAGTAACTGTGTTGCTTTGAATGGGAATATTTGCCTAATTTAGAGAAATTTTCATTTCTTCTTGCTCATTGTTTCATTCCCACTGAGTAATTTATCCTTAAGCCAACATCAGTACGTCTACCAAGAGTTTATGATAATGAGCTATTCTGTGTTTATCTTAAATTAAAAGATCACAAGACATAAGGATAAGTTAATTGGCTAGGTCATACGCTATTGGAAAGAAAGATTGTAGCTGATTAATGAAAAATGTTTCTTGTTGGGGGCACAGTGGTCCATGGCTTTAATCTCTGAACTTGAGCTCTGTGCTTAAGGCCAGCCTGGTCTACATAGCAAATTCCAGGGCAGCTGGGACTACAAGGAGACCCTATCTCAAAACAAACAAACAAACAAACAAAAGATTCTGAAATATTTTCCTGAACCTTTATTATTTAGTAATTATTTTAAAAAAAATTATTTTATATGTATGAGTATATTGCCTACATGTATGTAAGTGCACCCGTGTCATGGGATGTCTGCAGAGATCAGAAGAGGGTGTTGGAGTCCCCTGGAACTGGAGTTATGGAAAGTTGTTAGCCACCATGTGGATGCTGGGTGTCAAACTCAGGTCCTCTGCAAGAGCAGCCAATGCCTTAACCCCTCAGTCATCTCTCCAGCCCTAAACCCTTATTATTTAGACAACAGAAACCATCTCTATCTGGATAAAACTTCAAACACAGATAACCCCACTTTATTTGGGAGTTTTTAATTAGAAAAAACATCAGAATAAAATTGATTCAAAAAACAAGAATAGCAGCACTTCTTCTTGAATGCAAAATTTTTCTCTAGCCAAAGGAAAGAATTCTACATTTAATTTATTTTCTTTTTTTCTTTCTTCTTTTTTTTATCTTTTTGAGACAGGGTCTCTCTGTAGCCCCAGCTGTCCTGGAACTCACTATGTAGACCAGGCTGGCCTCAAACTCACAAAGATCCACCTGCCTCTGCCTCCCAAGTGCTAGGATTAAAGGTGTGTGCCACCACACCTGGCTATACATTTAATTTTTTAAAAATTTATTTTATGTGTATGTGTTTTGTCTACATGTGTGTAGGTGCACCCATGTCATGCAATGCCCATGGAGACCAGAAGAATGTGCCAGATCCCTTTGAACTAGAGTTAAGGATGTTTTTTAGTGGCTATGTGGATGTGGGTGCTAAGAACTGAACTTGAGCGCTCTGCAAGAGAAGCCAGGGTTCTTAACTTCTGAGCCATTTCTCCAGCGCACCAGGAATTCTGCTCTTCTTCTTCTTCTTCTTTTTTTTTTTTTTTTGGTCTTTTTGAGACAGGGTCTCCTTGTAGCCCCAGCTGGCCTGGAAATCACTATGTAGACCAGGCTGGCCTTGATCACAGAGAGATCTGCCTGCCTCTGTTTCCAAAGTGCTGAGTCTAAAGGTGTGAGCCACCAGGCCTGGGTCAAGAATTCTACTTTTATTATTTATTTAATAAAAATAAGCTGGGCGTGGTGGCACATACCTGTAGTCCCAGCACTTGGGAGGCTGAGCCATCTCTCCAGCCCCTATTTTACTCTTTATTATTTATTTATTTATTTATATATTTATTTATTTATTTATTTATTTATTTATTTATTTGTCTTTTTGAGACAGGGTCTCCCTGTAGCTCAAGCTGTCCTGGCTCACTATGTGTAGACCAGGCTGGCCTTGAACTCACAAGGCCTTCTGCCTCCAGAGTGCTGGGATTAAAGGTGTGCACCACCACGCCTGGCTTACTCATTTATTTTTAACTTATGTTTTTGTTTCTTTTGTTCTTTAACTTTTACAAAAACTTTATTGAGAATTTCATACATGTATATAAGGTGATTTGATGAAATCCATGCCCACTCCCTCACCTCCAACGTTCCCCCCCTGAAGAGATAACCCTAAAATCTTTTAAGGATTAGATACAAGCTCCCAAATACCTTTGACATTTTTGGCCTTTGGAACAGAGTATGTTGCTAACAGGCCCAAGGATATTTTGACTTTTAGCCAAGAAACCGGCTACATTTCTTTGGGGTCTTTTTATCTTAACTGCCTAGCCAATTCCTACCTCCTATTCTTATCACACCATCCTCTGAAGAGGTTACCCAAATTGCCAATAGGGAATAGG